AAGGCACATGGGACTTGTCAACTTATATCTCAAGGTGACGGGCGCAGTGGTAGTGCCCCTCAGATCTTTGCCAATTTAAAGCTCTGAGTGGCACTGTAACTGTTATGCACAGGCGTGTAGCTCACCATCAGGCGCACGACTTGTTCGTCCCGTCACTTGATGTTATATAAAAAAAAGTCAAATCGATTGAAAACACTCAATCGTCTCATTTCGTTTTGACCATCACTTCCGGGCCATCCTTTATAATAAAGTTACGACTATTAGTTGAGAATGTTCGCTTTTGAAAGCTGAATAAGGTCGTACGTCTTACTCAGTTATGATAAATGTATCAAATGCTACAGTTAGTGAGGAGAATAACGATATGTCATCCTGAACTGCACATTGTCTTGAAAGTTAGAAGGTTAGGGGTCAAACTCCAAACCAGAGAATCAATTTTTAAAAAACTCATACTAATCATGTCATACTATATTAATACAAGTAGTATACTGCCTGTGACAAGAAGTCAAAACCGAGAAAAAGTTTAAATTTTTGTTGAATTGATATTCAATTATTTTTTATGTGGAATTAGAAAAGGCTAAAATTAAAATAAATAAATAAAATAAAGGCTAAAAAGTCGTTAAAAAAAGACACGACAACTAAGCACAGAAAAATTCGTGAGGTCAGCGTTCCGTGGCTTAGTTAGTGTAGCGTCTGCCACGGTGTGCTAGAAGACGTCGCGTCGGTTCGAATCCGGCCGATTCGAAGGATGTTTTTCTGAGTATTCGATGTTTGTATTAATAATTGCGAGAAAAAATGTTTAAAGAAATGAAAATTATAAAATATCTACTTTTCTCTTGCGGTAACTTCGTACACCTTTTTTTAAACAAAAAACATCTTCAAAAGTTTGTGGAATTATGTCTATTTGAAAAGTTTTATTGGAGACGGATAACGGAAAGTCCAATATCCAATAAATCTGATTTATCCCCTAATTTGCTACCCTTAGAAGTGAAATGGTAATTATGCATAAAAAAATTAAGCCCTTTTTTGTTTATGTACTTCAGTTCGCTGGCTCTAGTATCCGTATCTATTTAGATAACAGCGACCCTTTTAAATTAATAGTAAAATTACACAATACGAGAACTTACTATTCAAATTTGGAATGATAATACTTTTTATTAGACGAATGCTTTTTTTGCTTTTTCAAGCTGTAACGCTCGACAATCGAATTGACTGTACAGTCACTAGTATTTATTTGGTCTGTGGTACAGATCTTCTGCAATATATTAGATACAATGTACTTGAACGTACCCGTTTATCGACGACGGGCGCGCTTATACCCGCTGTTTAAAACTAGGTTTAGGTGGATGCACACCTGCCGCGCGTAGACACACTTTGCAACATTCAGATGATACACTGTCAGTGCCTATAATTCTTAACGCGGCGGTACTGTACGTTATCCTACGTATAAACGAGTATATGCAAAATACATATATGAATATAGGCATGCGATTTGAAAACGCGTGTTCAATTTTTGTTTTGTGAACTTCGCCTAAAATGGCGCGCTACCGAACAAATGCTGGCAAACGAGTTCCTCGTACGTTGTATTCTTTCGCATTACAATGATTTATTTCGTATTAATGAAATATTAACGGCAAGCACTAAAGTGCATGCCATAAATACGATAAAAAGAAGAATGATAATTAATATATATTCTATTTACCTGCTTCTAAATTTAAAAAGGTATTACTGAAGCTCTAATCTAATTATATAACTTATAATATAACTTTTTAACCGACTTCCAAAAAGAAGGAGGTTACGCGATAACTCCGGCAAACCCTGGCCTGTAAGGAGACCCATGCCCAGCAATGGGACGTATAAATTAATTAATAACGAATGTAAACATACCACGCACAATTGTTTGTTGAGATATTGCTTGGTCTTTATTTACTTTTATAAATAAAAAAGGTGTTTATCAAAATTGACTTACACAAACGTATTTAACATCAAAACAAAGTCGAAAATTTCTTCAATAAATGATAATAGTGCATTAATTAATGGAAAATGAACAAAAGACGAAGGTGTGTTGCCATAATTGGAATGTCATTATTTTTGCGTCCCGGACCGATATCCGGTGCGCGATGCCGGGCAATTTCGCCTCAGTGAACGACACCACAATGACAACAATTATGAGTCTCTTTTTAATTAGTGCTATTTATTTGTACACTTTTTCCCAATAATATTATTTGGAATTCAGAACGTTATTTTAAAACAAACAACAGAGGAAACGACAAAGTTAAAATCAGGATGACACTAGGAGGAAAGATGCAAAGTAAGGCGTGCATCCCATATCACCAGATGGGAAGCGAGAACAAGATCTTTTACATGAGAGACAAACTATCCCCCAACTAACCTGACACAGACACAGCTACACTTTGTTATAATTCTAATATCCCATTTATTCTTCTTCTTGAATTTCTCGGAAGTCAGCCATCATTAGGGCTATCTGTATTTTAGACACAGCTGCACTGAACAAGGATCTTGTGCTCAGGTTGAACCATGTCCGGAGATTCTTAAGCCACGAAGTACGTCTTCTTCCAGGTGGTCGCTTTCCTTGTATCTTCCCTTGCATAATTAGTCGGAGTAGGTCGTATTTATCATTACGCATTATATGACCAAAGTACTATAGTTTGCGTTTTTTGACAGTACTCAAGACCTCTAATTTCTTATTCATCATCTGCGATACTCCTTCATTGAACACTCTATACGTCCACGATATTTTTAAAATCCTTCTGTAGACTCACATTTCAAAGGCTTCTAAGCGGCTCATATTTTGAGGTAAGGTCCAGGACTCTACGCCTTACAGAAGAACCGGAAATACGTAGCAACGTCCCAAACGCACCCTAGTAGAGAGCTTCAAGGTTCGATTGCAGACTAGATGACTCAACTTTAGAAATGCATTACGTGCTTGTTCTATTCAACATTTTATCTCTACGCTATGATCACATTGGTAGTTTGATGCAGCCAAGGTTTTTAGAAGAATTGACTCCCATTTATTATCATGTCTAATGATATTTTTAGTAGCAGTACAGCTCCTTGTGAAAGAGTTCGTCCAGAGAAGTACTGCCACCTTACATATTTCTGTCGCCAAGCAGTAATAGCATTACTGCGTTCCGGTTTTGTAGGGTAAGGGTGCTGGTGAAATTACGGGCACGTGGGACTTGTCAACTTATGTTTCCGGGTGACGGGCGCAGTGGGAGTGCCCCTTAGATCTTTATGACTGAAAGCTCTGAGTGGCATTGCAACTGTTATGGACAGATGTGTCGCTTACCACCAAATGCACAACTACGACATCCCGTTACTTGGTATTATTAAAAAAATATAATTCAGTGTTTAGATGTCTTCTAAAATTATTAAATAAAATTTCAGAATCCCTAAAACTTAATACAAAAAAATAAGCAATAAAAGTATTTTTTTCTGAGCCAAATCGCGTATATTTGTTTTTTTCAAACTAACCAACGTTTTGGGCCCTTTACAGGTCCCGTGGTCACGGTTGACTGGGGTGGTACAGTCGTCAACCAGTTATATCTAATATTAATGCAAACCACCTTATTTTTTTCACTATAGTTATAAAAGTTATTATTTCGACTCATCCGAAGAGCAAAGTGCGATGTGATTATACAGCGAAAACAGGTTAAAACATAATCTTGTTATTCAAAAGGCCTATATAAATGTGTTTTCAGACTTTTTATGTATTTATTATTTAGTTTCGAGAATATGAAATCGAACAACCGACAATCTTGACTGTGGATATCCGCAGTTAAGAACAACGAACGAAGTGTATAATGTCTCGAGAATAAGCAGCATCTTGCACATAGGTCTTTGTTCTACGGATGAGTCGATTTATACCTTAGATTTAATTTTACACAGAACATTCCAATTTACGCACCATCTGCTTTCCAAATTATTTTATTTTAACAAAATGAATTTTTATTAGGTGAAATTTATTGTTAACTAATAATAGAAATTAGAATAAATTAAAACATATTAATCAACAGAAGAATACAATACAAACAAAAAAATTGATTCAAAAAATTTTGTGAAATTTCAACGAACTTTTACAATTTACAAACACTCCACTAACTAACAATCAATCAATAACCTTTCGCAAAATACCAATAGAAAGTATTCCTATTATGTAGGAACTGTCCAAACAGCGAGAGCTAAATCACAATTTCATTTCGGCACCGAATTTCGTACATCAATTCCGAAAATTGTTGAATATCCCAGGGTTGCAGTAGAGATGCCGACCATTCGCGGAACATGAATAATTACCGAATAAACTCACGATTTCCCGGGACTAATAGAGTTGCAATTACCCCGTACCTCTGCCCCTTGTTCATTTCGAAATCATTAATCATTGAACTCATTATCGTGTCTTTTGAATTGCTGCTTATTTTATCGGAATTTAGTTTTAAAACCAGTGTTTCTGCTTAATCTGCACTTGAGCTGAATTTAGAAGTATAACATTGTATACATTATACAATGTAACATTATAAAAAACTATAACATGTAGACAATAAGGTCACATCTGAAAAGAACAACTTTTTTTTTCAAGGACAGTTTCTATGAACGAAATTATTGGACAGGAGCGTTTGAACACTGCGTCCAATTCGTATCAATTCCGAATCCGAGAATAAATGTCACAGGTGTCCATAGTGTCAATTTATTACAGATGAAACGGATATCCGGTATTCGGTCTATCTGGCTTATTTTTAATATCCGGCCGGTTACCGGATAGTAGAACAATATCCGGCCGGATACAGGATAGTAGAACAATATCCGGCCGGATACTATATTCTAAAATTCTGTCGACATTACCTAATCCCTAAGACAAACATTTAATGAAGTGTCACAGCGATCATTCTAGTTTACATTTAGTATAATATCTCGATAATGGTGTAGACTTTGTCAATTAGTAAACATTTTGTATGTTCTAAAAACAAACTTGTTTTGCCCGTTAGGATCGGCCACTCGCGCACAACGCTACAGCTCGCGTGTTCCACAGCAACCAGAGCTTGGTGCTACAGAAGGTGACCCGACACAGCAGTGGCAGATACGCCTGCTCCGCTCTCAATGCTGAGGGGGAAACAGTTTCTAATGAACTGCACTTTAGAGTTAAATGTAAGTACAGTTTTTCATACTCTAACAATTTTATTCATAACGTAAATTATTTATTTATTAAAACAGGTTATACGGAAGTTCAGATTAAACCTTACCTTACCTATTTCTGCAGCCAAGCAGTAATGTCAGCATTACTGTGTTCCGGTTTTGAAGGGTGAGGGTGCTGGTGAAATGACAGGCGCATGGGACTTGTTAACTTATGTCTCAGGGTAGTGGCAGTGCCCCTTAGATCTTTGAGCTCTGAGTGGCATTGCAGCTGTTATGGACAGGCATATAGCTTACCATCAGGCGCACGACTTATTCGTCCCGCCGCTTGTTATTATAAAAAAAAAAAAAAAATGCAAATTATAACTTTTTTACAAAAAAAACTGAACTTAAAAGTTTACTTACCTTGTATTTATGACCTTACTTTGATTTCATTGTATTCGTTACATTTATTCGTCAAGTTTTATTGAAATCGGTTAACGGAAAGTGTGTGAAATCCAATAAATCTCCTAATTTGCCAAACTTAGCGGTGGAATACATTTTCAGAATTCAATTGGACCACTACTGGGATACCCCCTTTCCCACAAAAAAGAATCATTGAAATCGGTTCACAAAATATTTCGGAGTAAACACGTGACATGCACACAAAAAACAATACAATCAAATTAAGAACCTCCTCCTTTTTTAAATTCGGTCAAACATATAGTTTTATTTTATCGTATTCAGCCAAATATTAGGCATACAAACATATTATGTTGTTATCGTATTAGGTGTATTATTCATTTACTCACATGTACTTTAGCAGACCAAACTAGATGTAACGTAATTAAATTTGTATTGAATTGATATTCAATTATTTTTTGTGAAAGTACTCCACTGTTGTTTGTTGTAATACAAAAACCGAACACTTAAAAAAATAGAAAAAAAAATAGAAAGATTTTTTCTAAGTGTTCGACCTTGTATTAATAATTAAATGTAACCTTCTTTTTTGGTAAAAAATTCATATGGATCTAAGAAATATGTCTGTCAATAATTTAAACGAGGTGTCAGTGACGTGGGTCATTTTACTGTTTTTTTTTTTAATGTAATAAATACGCCTACCTGTTCCTTCCTAGTTCGAGATCCATCACCGGCTCTATTTGCCAATTATATTACTACCACGTGTCTCTTGTACTGATCCCCAAATACTCCCTAAAGTGGGCTATGTTTTGAACATTAAATGAAAAAGAACAAAGAAAACAGGACATAAATTTTGGTTATAAATCCCCTAAAACCTTTACATTTATCCGTTATAGGCAAGTCGTTCAGCATACTATAGCAGATAAGATGAAATATTGAACGTTTGAAGTATCAATTCATATAACATTTTTCAAAATATGTCCTTGGCAATAACCGTCTTAAATAGTTTTCTAAAGTGGTATTACTACCCATATGAAAAGTGATTATAACACAAGTGCAACTACAGTCACAAATACCACCACAAAAAATTTACTATACCTTTGAGTATATTCTTGGTGGTGGTGTTTGTAACTGAAGTTGCGCTTGTGTGATATATTTTATGCGTTGGGAGGGTGGGAAAATTAACTTCATGAAAGAAATATTCAATACAAAGCGCAGCTACGTTGTACGAATTAGGCTTTACTAGGTTCGCAGGGAAGCAAATTAATGTACTTCCGTATTAATAATCTCGTCAATCCCGGTATGAGCGATGCCACGCGATGCGTTGGCGTTGCGTCGCGTGGTGACCATGTGGCGTTGTGACGCTGTGTTGTACTACATATAAGAGCAATGCCACACGGACGTTGCCGGAGCGTTATGCAACGCTATGGTTTACTGCACCGAGTTGTGCAATGCGTCGTCGCAACGCTATGATTTCAACACACCGTGCGCCACACGAGCAATGCGGTGTCGCAATGCAGCACGTATCCTCTCTTCGTCTTCTGGCCCCTTGTCCAATGCGCACGCCTTTCCGTCGTCGATTCAATGCACCATGTGGCGTGACGATGCGTTGCAGCGGCGTTGCGATGCCTGAGCGGTGACATCGCGTAGTATTACACATAAATTAGAAACAGTGCGCCACAGCAAGCAACTTAGCACGTTGAAATCATAGCGTTGCGACGCGCAACACTTGTGTAACATCGCTCTATCGCGAGATTTTTTCGACACAAAAGCGCGTTCCATATTAACAAGTAACCGACTTATAGGCTGACATATCCATTCAAAATCAAATTTTAATTCTAATGCCCGTAACCATAAGGATACTGTCTGGTATAAACTACAATTATGTATTTTATTTCGCAATGTATATAATATTGAACTCCAAATAAATATATAACAATTGGCGAAAACCGGAGGATGGTGAGACGTCATGTAGATCATATGCTCCATCCAAAAGCAGTAGCGCTGAAGCTACCTTCCGAAATCGTGGTGGAAGACTGATAGGTCGATTCAAATTCTAATTCTAATTCTAAAGCCCATAACCTAATATAAATACAAATGTAGTATATCATTTCAGAATGCATATAATGTTGAGCTCTAAATAAATATATAACATAGGTAAATAAGCATCCGATTATCCGACCACTACTAATCACACAGCAATTATAAAATATTATTATCATAGAATTACAGCAATTTACTGGAAGAATAACTTGCTAGATCTGTTAGCGGAAACTTATCCAGACTGCAGTCGGTTTCAGCATTCTTTGTCAACTATGTCCACTCGGCAAAGCGAGGAAGTTTCTCGAATCCACAAAACCTACACGCTTACTCGTTCACTTTGAATTCCGCATTCACTGAATAAGTATTTAGAGATCGGGAAATTGAATTTGTATCGAAAACGTGAATACGTCCAGAATTTGAACGCACGATTGGAGATTTAATTTATTTTTATTGAAATAAGGTACGACGCTGTTGACATACTACAATAATACTTAGAACGATTTACATATTATATTATTAGTGTATATTACATTAGACAACGTCGCATACTTTGCTCTGATCCCAATGTTAGTAACTAAAACATAGCGAAAACATTAAAATCGGTGTGCAAGCCACTCGACCACGGAGATCGTCAAAATTATGTAACATAAATCTGACATTAAATTGTGATTAATACAATTAGCTTTCATTCTTTCACGCTGAGAATAAGAAAAGTTAAATGCAATTATAAAGAAACCTAAAAAACACTATCAACACAAAGTAACCAACTCTAAAGTAGAATATATAACAAAAAACTTATCAGCATCCAAAAATTATCAAATTTACTTTACTTCATTATATTATTTATCAAGAGGATACAGATTTATTCATGATATTTTCTTAGAGTAGGATATTATTTTAAAGGACGTAATACTACACATGACGCATGTAAAATGGTCCAATTTGAGAAAGCTTGTTCTTTAACAGTGATAAATTAAACAACTCTGCAATACGCACTAACCAAGTAAACATCTTAAAATATAGGTGCAGGTAGGTAACAATTTTATGCCAAAACATATTGAATTGAAAGAAAAATTTTATTGGAAATGATTTAGTGGAATTACCTGCATGCAGACTTATTTTCCATACTTATGCTCCATCGTCACTTTCTATCAGGTGAACAGGAAGTCAAATGCAAACTTATTTCTTTATTAAACAAATGCGGTTAGTGTTTGTAATGGTTTAGTAGCAGTAGAACTCCTTGTGAAAGAGTTCGACCACGGAAGTACTGCCCCCTTAGCAATTTCTGCAGCCAAGTGCTATTATGAGCTCTACTGCGTTCCGGTTTTGAAAGGTAAAGGTGCTGGTGAAATTACGGGCACATGGGACTTGTCAACTTATGCGTCAGGATGATAGGCTCAGTGGCAGTGTCCCTCAGACCGTTGTGATTTAAAGCTCTGAGTGGCTCTGCAACTGTTATGAACGGGCGTGTCACTTACCACCAGGCACACGACTTATTCGTCCCGTCATTTGGTATGACAAAAAAACAATATGATAATGTTCCAAGCGTATAAACCTGTCAAATATACAGTTGAGTTTATTTTTACATACTGTTCTTTTCTTTTTTATAGTCTACTCTTAATGCCGACATCGATAAATCCAGGATCCAAGATTCAGGGAAGCAATATTGTTATATAAGTATATAATGGATCTTGGGAAATATTAAACTACGTTCCAAGCACCTAACTCTGCCAAGTATTGTAATCTAGACTGTTAGAAATTCTTCTACTTTCAGCTTAATTACGTATGCATTCCATCAGAACATAGCGCACGTACTCCACTACAACACATTTAATATAATTGGGGGATCGAAGTATTCTGCTTAAGTATGATAAGCTGCCTAAAGGCATGTGTTCGCATCGAAATTGAATTTAAGTGAGTAAATTTACTGTACATAAATCGGCAAACCGAGGAATACGAAAGAGGAAAGATTGTTAAATGTTGTATGATTTTTTTTCAAATTTGCATTGAATCGATATTCTCAATTACTCCACTAGTTTGTTATAGTTATTAACACAAAGTTCGAGCACTTAGAAAATTTCCTTCCTAAACTGAATGACGAAATACTTTCAAAGATTTCTCATAGATGGCGCTACGGCTAAAAAGTCGTTGAAAAACCAAATATGTACAAAGATCCAACAACAAACATATAGGAAAATTCGTGAGGTCCGCTGGTTCGTTCCGTGGCTTAGCGTCTGGCACGGTTTGCTGAAGACGTCGGTTCGAATCCGGCCGGATCGAAGGAATTTTTTCTAAGTGTTTTCGATCTTTGTATTAACACTTTTTTTTCTTTTATGATATCAATGAGACGGGACGAATAAGTCGTGCGTCTAGTGGTCACTGTAATCTCTTGGTAGAGGCAGTGATGAAACATAGTTCTTCATAATAATTCTATCATGAAATACTTTCATTTTCAATATTATTATAGTTTTAACCTGCATTTACTGCTTAGTGATAGTTTTATTTGGTCTTAGGCTGCCTTTCCACCAGAGATGTGGACGTAGCGAGGCGGAAAAATTCCCCTATAGGATTAT